AAGGCCAATTATGCAAGAAGGATACTTCCTTCCTCACCATTCAGTTTTAAAGGAATCAAGTGCAACCACTAAACTTAGAGTGGTCTTCGATGCATCAGCCAAAACAACAAAGGGCATTTCGCTGAATGACACTTTATTAAAGGGTCCAGTGGTACAACAAGAGCTTTTTTCGATAGTGCTGAGGTTTCGTCTACATAACATAGTATTCACGGCAGACATTCATAAAATGTACAGACAAGTATTAGTACATCCTGACGATCGTACATTTCAAAGGATTCTATGGAGAAACAAGTCGGAAGAAGCAATACGGATTTATGAGCTCAACACAGTAACGTATGGTACATCAGCCGTTCCATACTTAGCAACACGCACTTTAATTCAGTTGGCGGAAGATGAAAGACAAAACTACACAGATGCATCCGAAATCATCACAAGAGATATGTATGTTGACGACTTACTTACAGGAACGGAAACACTAGAGCAAGCTAAGATACTGAAGAATCAAATAACAAGGTTGTTGAGTAGCAGAGGCTTCGAGCTGAGGCAATGGACCTCTAATCATCCACAGTTCATGGAATCCCAATCAGATGGACGACAAGAAAATTGGTGTTTCGATTTCTCGGAAACGCATAAAACATTGGGGATTTTGTGGAATCCACAACAGGATTGCTTCGTATATCATTTTACAGATAATCAAGAATCATTTAAGGTGACAAAGCGATCTATTCTATCACAAATAGCTTCTTATTATGATCCACTTGGTCTGTTGGGCCCAGTCATTGTAAAGGCTAAGATATTACTTCAGAACATTTGGAAGCTGCAACTAACTTGGGATGAAACAGTACCGATCGAGATTCATACAGCATGGAAAACATTTCAAGAGAGTATGTCTGAATTAAACAACTTGTCGTTTCCCAGACATGTTTGTTTGAAGGAAGCAGTCAATTTACAACTGCATGGATTTGCGGATGCTAGCGAAGTCGCTTATGGAGCATGTGTCTACATGAGATCTTCGAATGCAGCCAATTCACATCAAGTTATGTTAATCTGCGCAAGGTCTAGAGTGGTTCCAATAAAGAAGAAGCTGTCGCTGCCTAAACTAGAGTTATGTGCAGCATTACTTTTATCACAACTCTATCAAACAGTATTGAAGGCTTTCCACGTAACTATCAATAAGGTGATTTTATGGTCGGATTCAACGATAGTTTTGCATTGGATACACACTCATCCATATCGTCTTAAAACCTTTGTGGCAAATCGTGTAACTGCTATTCAGGAAATTACAACATTAGCTAGTTGGAGACACATATCATCACAAGACAATCCAGCTGATCTACTTTCGAGAGGAATCTTTCCATCACAACTTACTAACCGTACCCTTTGGATCCATGGGCCAAAATGGTTGTCGGATGGTGAGCAAAACTGGCCAAAGCTTACGTTAAAACCAATTGAGCTTCCAGAACAACGAACGATAATCTCTTTGAAAACAGAAAGAAACTCAGGATTTTTGCAGAAATTTTCATCGGTTGTGACACTTCGTAGAGTTGTGGCATGGTGTCTTAGGTTTATCAATAATTGTCGTTCAGATCACAAGGTTCAAGGAAATCTAATCAGTTCTGAGCTAAAGCATGCGATGTCTGTCATTGTTAAACTAGTTCAAGCCGAGGCGTTTTCATATGAGATACATTCATTAGAATCAGGCAAGACTCTTAAGAATAATAGTAAGATCTTATCATTACATCCGTTTTTAGATTCGAACGGAATTATGCGAGTTGGTGGTAGGCTTACGCATTCTAATTTAGGTTATGATCAAAAACATCAGATTATTTTACCAGGAAATCACCATGTAACGGATTTGATTATTCGGAATGTTCACATATCACAATTACATGCAGGACCACAAGCAACACTCTATCACATTCGACAAAGGTTTTGGCCAGTAAATGCAAAGTGTCAGGTCAAAAGGATTGTACGTGAGTGTATAACTTGTTTTAAAGCGAAACCGCGAATGTCAGAATATACAATGGGTGATCTTCCTAAAGATAGATTCGAATGTTCACGACCTTTCATAAATTCTGGCGTTGATTATTGCGGCCCTTTTCAGATAAAAGAAAAGAAGCATCGCAATCGTAATAAAATTAAGATTTACGTCGCCATTTTCATATGTCTAGCGTCAAAGGCTATTCACTTGGAATTAGTCAGTGATTTATCAACTGAGGCTTTCATAGCTGCATTAAAACGATTTTTTAGTAGAAGAGGCAAATCGAACCTTATATTGTCAGATAATGCGACTAATTTTGTTGGTACCAAGAACAAACTGCGTGAATTGTATGACTTTGTAAACACTGCAACTCATAAGGATACGATGACAACTTGGCTGAGTGAACAGGAAGTTGTTTGGAAATTCATTCCACCTCGGTCTCCTCACTTCGGAGGGATTTGGGAGGCTGCTGTGCGGTCTTTTAAACATCACTTATTTCGCGTAGCAAAGGACACTCTATTTACATTTGAACAGTTTAATACACTTATTGTCGAGATTGAAGCAATACTCAATTCCAGACCATTGACGCCATTCGACTTTTCGAACGCATAGGAGGTAACAATGGTAACAACATTCGGCAATGTAAATCTGAGATGCGAGCTAGCAGATGGCGAGCGTGATCACGTGATCTTCGAGCAAACCGAGCATAAAAGTTAATGTCGAACGATTCTGAGATGTCATCGCTATTTCATTCTTTAACCTCAAAAGTAGGTTTATTAATGTTATTAACGTTAAATATTAATTAGATATATATAAATATATATATAAATCTATAAATAATAAGAAATAAATAAAAAATAAATAAAAATGTATATAAATGTGAATTAGATGTATAAGAATTATATTAATTATGTCAATTGTGAACATAAAGAATTGTTATAAAATAAAATTAATTGAATATATTATATAATTATATATACACTAGGAACAAAATGAATAATGCAGGAATTGGCTTTATTTTAAATTTTGCTTGGGATATATTTTTTTATGACACTGATGACGAAGATGAAAATGTCAAAATTCCAAGAGTTTATCAATATGCAGAAGAAATTGTCCCTCGTTTCTCCGATAGAACATTTAAAACACACTTCCGAATAACACCGAATACGTTTGAAGAATTGCTCACAAAACTTCATAGCATTGAAGACAATATAAATGTTGGATGCAAACCTCTTCCACTTATAAAACAATTAATGATTACCATTTGGTATTTATCAAATATTGAATCTTTCCGGTAAGTTTTCATGATAAATTACTGATATAAAATAAATTACCTACGGTGCAAAGAAAACTTATTTATTTTCTTATTCCTATTTTTCTTTTTAGATCAGTAGCTGATCGCTTTGATATCAGTAAAAGTACTTGTTGGGATATACTTTATAGAACATGTAAAAGTCTTTTAAAAGTTAATACCACATATAAAATTATATCATGGCCAAATAGAGAACGTGCTATAACAATAATGAGACAATTTCAACAAATTAACGGGTTTCCAAGTAAATAATAACTAAAATTTTTCATTTGCTATTTTTCATTTACTATTTCGAATGTTTAAGTTTAATCTTTCTTTAGGAATTATTGGAGCTATCGATGGATCGCATGTCCATATATTAAAACCAAAGAATCATCCAAATTCTTACTGCAACAGAAAAAATTACCATTCTGTACTTCTACAAGGAGTCTGCGACAGTGAAAGATTATTTCTAGATGTCTATGTTGGGGAACCTGGATCCATTCACGATATGAGATTATTTAAGAAGTCTGATTTATATGCAAGGATAAAAAATTCATCAATTGATTTTCCTAATGATAGTCACCTAGTGGGAGATTTGGCCTATCAGTTATCTCCATATCTTCTAGTAGGTTTCAAAGATGTTGGTGGGTTAACTAACCGAGAAAAAAATTTTAATAAAAAATTATCACAATGTCGTGTGAGAATAGAGAATGCTTTTGCATATTTAAAAGGACGATTCAGACGCTTAAAGTATCTTGAAACAGTTAGACTAGATTTAATTTGTCTGTTGATAGTATCCGCATGTATTATGCACAACATCAGTATTTTAAATGGAGATTTACCTGAGGAATTTGTAGACAATATGGAGATAAGGGATATAAGAGACTATGAATTTATTGCAAACATAAATGAAGAAGAAGGAAATAATGCAGGCATATTGAAAAGAAGAGAAATTATGAATATTCTTCCAATATAAATATGGGAAATATGGAATGAATAAACATGTTTATACAGTTCAAACATATTGATTATTTTATTTATGAACTAAATTTATAATGTAGTTTATTTATATATATCTATATAAACTAAAAGTTACACAACATAAATAACGTTTAATTATTAAATGATAATATTGGAAACTTAAAAAACAAAAACATCAATTTTAGACTAAGACTAAGTTTGTTCTTTATGCTTTCGTGCTGAAAGCATCATTTTATCTTTCGAAATTATGCTTTTAGCACGAAAGAGTAAAATAAATTTAACATAGACTACTTTATCATCATTAAAACAGGTACTTCGATATTAAATCAATGTAAATAAAACATAAAATATTACATATCTGATAGAAATTTCAGTCTTGTTGAGAACAGAAAAATATTTACAACAGTCTGTTTAACTTATTGTTAGAACTTTCCTTTTAATAATTAAGTAATATATGAATAACATGGCTAATGTGCATATATACATATATTATATATGAAACAGAAAAAATATTAATTGCACATTTTGATAACGATAAAAGAAAAGAAACTCAAAATCACAGTGTAAATTCCGGCGAATTGCGGCAGACTGATACTTATAATAGGCATATGCTCATTGCATTCCGATGGATAAAAAGAACTGACTGAAATAAAACTAATATAAAATGATCAACTTTCTTTTAGGTAATTAAAAATAATTAAATGATTTTGTAGGATTAATGGCCTCAGTAGAAGTAAGAAATATTCACTCATCATTGCTATTCTTCTTATCTCGAAGTATTCCGACATACTCATTGAAACATTTTAAGAAGTCATCCTGTCTTTGCATTTTCTCCTGATGTCTTCTTTCTACAGCATTACCTATTGATGAACGTTTTTTCTTAAAAAAGTCAGTTGCACATGTGGATGAAGATTTTCTCTTATTGTCGCAGGAATATTTGTCATCTGTGATATTTTCTTCATTTTCTGTACTTTTATCAGTGCCACTCGATTCTTTATTAACCATCAATCCTTTCGTATTACTGCAAGTAGCTACAGGTGTAATTTCTGGTTTGTTATGAAGCATTTCATTCATTACTTCAAAATATTCCCATCTTTTTCGATTTCTTCCAGATGATGAGTTGTGTTCTTTGATATCTTTATATATTTTTAATAAGCCTTTCCATTTGGTGTCACATTGCTGCCATGTAATTGAAGTACCCAAATCAGTGGTCAAAATTTTGGAGATTTTCATCCAAATATGTTTTTTTATTGAATTTTGAAATTGTTCTTCAAATTCTCCAACTAGATTTATTAATCTCAAAATAGACTCATTTGTCCAAATTTTCTTCTCATGTTTTTGAACTTCATCTTCACGTTGTTCTACAAAATTTTCTTTATTTTCTTCCTCTGATAATTGTATAGATTCATAAATATCATCTATAAAAGCAAAAAAAATTATAAATTTCTGAACATTTATTTGTACAGTATAAGTAAATTATTGATTTAATTAGTCTCTATTACGCAACAAAATGTTTTATTTGGAAAATTTTAAGAAATCTTTTATATTTAAGACATAACCTCCATAAAACTTCCAAAAAAGAAATAAAAACTTACCATTTTTTTTATAGAAATATTTGTCACCAATTTGCACTATTTCGCGAAGTTCGTTGTTTACTACAGACATTTTGATCATTAGAAAGCGAAAAATAAAACGTAGCTTAATACTCGTACGGTGAACGTCACACTACAAATTTCTAAAGCAGCCAATTAATAAGTAGGTTATGTTGAAATCGGTAATTTATAATTTTCGCGGGAAAACGAACATTCCTCTGTGAGCTCGACCTTTAAATCCAGAGCAAATTGAGGAGCTTGATTTGCTCTAAAAATGCTAATATCGAACACAGATGGGATGATACAGAGCAGAAAAATATGAATTGCCGAACGATTTTCGAGATAAAAGAGCAATCCGACGTCTCCGATTTACAATGCCGAACGCACCTATTGTCATCGAGTCCAGATGATTTGGCCTCATTGACTCCAAGTCACTTCCTGATTGGAGGTGTGCTTTCATCGATTCCAGAGGTCGACTTCACAAATACTCAAACCAATAAGCTGTCCCAGTGGCAACACATTCAAAAGCTCAAGCGTGATTTCTGGAATCGCTGGAGCAAGGAGTATTTGACTGAATTAACACAACGTACAAAATGGAAATCAGGATCGGGTAGTTTAAAGGTAGATGATTTGGTTATATTACGCGAAGATAAAACTCCTCCATTGTATTAGTCTTTGGGTAGAGTCACCGAACTATATCCTGGTCAAGATGGCATTGTAAGAGTCATAGGAATCAGGACTGCAAACGGAAACTATAAACGTGCAGTAAAAAATGTAGCACTACTTCCAATGAACGAACATTTGTAATGATTTGTTGAACTGGACAGTTCAAGAGAGGCAGAATGTTTAGACGTTTTTTAAGTTCGCGCCAG